GTGTCTTGCCAGCAGCAGGAGCAGAACAATTGGAAGATTTTGACTCCTTTTCTGAGAATGAGGTGCTTTCTCTTCCGGAGGTAATGCAGAATTCCCGCTTCTGTAGCCCCGGTGCTGAAATGCAGTGTCATGCTGCAGTGTTGCTGGGGATTCCTTTCCCCACTGTCTGCCTGTGTTCTCGCTTGCTCAGGTTACTGCACTGGGGAGAGAAGAAGAAGGATGCTTCAACTCAAGCAGACTGTCGAGGCGACAGACAGGTGACTCTATTAGAGGCTGATGCAGATATCTGTAAATAGAACCTGTCAGTGTACGGAGAGCTGTTCTTGCTGCCGAGTTCATTTTGGAGTGCTGCTGAGAGGAGGTTATTGAATCTGGACCTGAAGTGTATTTCCAACCTCATTTTCTTCCCGTTGTAAAGCAGAAGGTCTGCATAAAGAGGGAACACAGTGAGTTGGAAAAAAGCACGTGCGCAGACTCTCAGCCTGTGTTCCAAGGAGAAGAATGCTTAAGCCTTTTCTCTGTATTAGGAAGGGGAAAGTCTCATGAAGAGCTGCTGATAGTTTGGATGTGCTCAGCTGAGAAAGATGCCTGCAGCTGCCTGCTGGTGGCGGCCAAAATCTCTTCTCTTTGACTTCACTGAGTCATAGAAGCATGGAATGGTTTGGGCTGGAAGGGTCCTTTAAAGGTCGTCTCGCCCAACCTCCTGCCGTGGGCAGGGACATCTTCCACTAGATCGGGTTGCTCAAAGCCCTGTCCAACCTGACTTTGAACACTTCCAGGGATGGGGCATCCACAACTTCTCTGGGCAACCTGGTCCAGCGTCCCACCACCCTTGCTGCAAAAAATGTCTTCCTCATGTCCAATCTAAGTCTACCCTCTTTTACTTTAAAACCGTTGCCCCTTGTCCTACCACTACAGGCCTTGGTAAAAAGTCTCTCTCCGCCTTTCTATATTGGAAGGCTGCAGTAAGGTCTCCCCAGAGCCTCCTCTTCCCCAGGCTGAACAACCCCAGCTCTCTCAGCCTTTCTTCATGGGAGAGGTGTTTCAGCCCTCTGATCGTTTTTGTGGCCCTCCTCTGGACCCGCTCTAACAAGTCCATGTCTTCCTTGTGCTGCG